AACTGTCGACGGGAAAGTAGAATAAGAAGAGAGCAAATGTCAGAGGCAATGAGAACAAACAACAGCATATTAACATCTAGTCTCTAATTAGTAACTAGTAGACTTAAGGAAACTAAAGTTCATTTTCTCTTGTATAGCAATCTATTTTTCCCACATACCTCTTCTGTATCTTTTACTCTGAAACCAAAACTGTAAATGCATAATGGCTTTCCTTATATCACCATGACTAGATCTGGCCAGTTGCTCTATCAAACCAGGACAGACGTTAACACCCTCTGCTGCACAAACCTGCAAAAAATTGCTTGTTAATAGGATTCAGTCGACAATCAAAAGGAAATGCATCAGAATGCATACCGAAGAAAGGTGCCTAAGTAGCTCTTCTGTTGATGGTGTTGCAAAGCATATTTCTAGCCTTTCCAGGTTGTCTGGTAAACCATGATTCATGTCTGCAAATTCCCATGTAACAATTAACAAACATGCCATTAGCAAATCAATTAAGGTGCCCAAAAGTGTAAATGGGAAAGGAAGTCTTTCAAACATGACAAAAGACTACCATTGGTAGTCAAAATCACAGGTCCTTTGGCTTTCTCAGCAATCTGCTGTATAGCAGAAACAAGACCACGATCATCAGGGAAACAAATATCTACATCCTCGAAGAGAATTAATGGCTTCAAGTTAGCTGTGTCGCTGTGGGACTGAGATTCCTTATCCGATATAGTTGTCACTTCAATCAACTCCTCTGTTGCACTACCATCAGCCACAGCAAAGGTAGGCGTCAAAGATTGTTCATTACTGAAATTGAGAGGTGGTTCCAAAGACCTAGAGGAAAAAAACTGTGTGAATATATGATGAAACTTATTCTGTGTTAGATCTTTTACTCAGTAAAATCCGCAAACAGTAGATCCAGATATAACAAAGTGATGCTGCTCGATGTACCTTGTCAGGCCATATGACCTATCGTTACCCATTTTCATCCTTTGGCATTCCGATGCATTGGACTACAAGGGCAACTTAATTAGATACATTCATTTTACAGTAGATATGGCATTTACATAGAATACCTCAGAAAGAAATATCTGGAAGGCAGTGTATTAGGAAAAGAGAACTTAAGAGCTTTCATAGAGATGTAACAACAGTAATATCATACCTCAAGGATTTTAAATCCTTGTTCCTTGGCACAAGCATGAATAGCTGCGGACTTCCCACTCTGCAACACAACACAGGCACAATCCAACATAATGATTAACATAAGAATAATACATATATAACAGGAATGTAAAAGTAAAATGGACAGAAAATGCGTCAGGTTATTTTCTTACGCACCCCAACCGGTCCGATGACTAAGAGCACATTTTTCAGACACCCCTCATCATCAATGTTTTCTGCATCAGAGTCACTTCCATAACAGCTGTAATCAGCATCTTGCATCTTCCTTTCATTGCCATCGCCAGGCTCTTTCATCGTTTGAAAACCTTTCTCATGCCAAAGGCAAAGCCAGTCATTCATTACTTTTACAGATTCAGTATTACCACATACCTGCAAAGAGTCCCGTAAATTATGAAAGAATTATGTCCTTATCCTTAAGCCTCTACCTTTACAGAAGATGCAGATCCAGTAGGAAGGTAAAATTGTTGAAATATCTCACCTCCATTGCACTTCTTGGCTGGTACTTATCTATCCACAAGCTATTGTGAGGCTGTCCACTGAGATCAAAACTGCATAGAGTAAATTCCCAAACTCAACCTTGTAAGAAGCTTATGCTCTAAAGAAGTTCTAAACCTAATGCAAAGTTCAGGTATTATACACTATCTGTCTAGAAGAATTTGTCCTTTCAAGCTGGCAACTAAAGTGTTATGGAAGACATGAAATAGCAAACTGCTACCTTTCTTGAAATGATCTGCTTTGATGGGCATTACCAAATTCTGCTGCACCATCAGCATGAGAAGACAAGAAAACTACTTCATCTACTTCGCATTCCTAGAAAGAATGCAGAAGATGACCTTTTGTCGAAGGTGGTTCGAAGAAAATAAAAGGAGAAACCAGAAAGAAAAGGAAACTGTTGGGCGGAGTACCTCATCTGCTCCATCTGGGCTCCTGAGGTATCTGCTTTTCTCCTCTTGTGTTGTTAATAATCCTGGAGTTGCCTCTGAAGTATCTTCTGATTGAGTAACAAATTGGTCGTGCTCCTCAACTTCAATGACAGACCTATCAGGATGTGAACCAGATGGCAGTTCTTTGATACCAAATTCCTTGGAAGATTGTTCAAAAAGTGAGCTGAAACTACGTCGCCGATCATATGTTCCGCTGGTGGATGTTTCCTCACAGAAAGTCCAATTCTTCCAATCAATGGAAAGATAACCATCCTAAGCGCCCCGGTCGAGCCGTGCTCCAACACCGACACCTGCAACGCCATGCTCGGCTACACGCTCTACACCGACCTCAAGGTCTCCGAGGTTGCTTCTCTCTTCCAGGTGGACCCCATTTCCGTGCTCCTCGCCAACGCCATTGACATCTCTTACCCAGACGTCGAGAACCACATCCTTCCCGACAAGCTCTTCATGAAGATACCCATCACTTGCTCCTGGAATGCTCAACCTGATAATCATGACATACCTGAAACCTCTCATATACATGGATTGGGCCGATGGTACTGATTTTATCTCTTCTTTTTCCCCGGCAACTATCACTCTCTGCTTCGGCTGCTTCTTTGTTCCTTTTCCCTGCTTTCCACAATGAGAAAAATGGATGTATTTGCTTCCCAGCCGACATTCTTGAATCTTCCTGGTCACAGATAAACCAAAAGATGGCCAGAGATCAAACACGACTCACTCACGACCAAAAAATAGCCCCATTGAAGCTACTTCAGCTTAACTAACACAAAGAACTGGTAGGAACGTCCTTGTTAATACACCGAATCAAATAGAACCCCTCAAAGCAAACCGCACAATCAGATCTCTTGCCTCAGCTCTTAATTTTGCTTCCAGCCGCAAATTGGTCACCGGAGGAGAAACCTTTTGAGCTACTGTCTGATTAGCAGCTATGCTCCCGTTTTTACTAGCATTTTTCTTAGGCGTTGATTTCCGAGGAGATTTCTCTTTAGCCAACTGTAATAAAAATAGACGAGTTATACAAGCATCGTGCTAAAGCCAATCTACATAGCAGATCAAGCTTAATAATTTAGAACAATGTATCAGAAAAAGTAACCAATTAACCTTCTTGGGAGTTCCGTTCTTCGGAGTAGCCTTCGCTCTTTGCTTTCTCGTCCTCTTTCCTTGACTACCACAGAACTCCTCCTCTTCCCCATCGGCATCCCCCTCTTCGTTACCGTCACCGGACCTCCGATCGCTGCTGGGCTCGACCTCCGCCGGAGATTTGTGCGGGAAGAGCGCTGACTGAACCAGCCTCCGCCGCACATTCCTCCGCTCCGCCGGCTCAACTCCGATCACGGATACCGGCCCATCTCTCTCATCCGATTCCCCCATCGGCAAAAATCGCAGATTCCTAGCTTCCGCAATCGAAATTTCGACAAAACTAGGGTTTCCGCGAAGAGCTAGGGTTTTGTACTCAAATTTGGGGATCGCGACGAGAAAAAAGGAAAAGAATTATAACGTTAACGTTAACAATGTTTTTTAGATTGGTTGTAGTGAATTTGGAGGGAACAAGTATTTATTTTCCCGCGTTGGTTGATCGGAGCGAGAGAGATTAAGGCCGTGTTTGGTAAAAGTATATTACTGCGACTGTATCCAAACAGCGACTTATCCTCTGCTTCCTCTCTTGGAAAGAAGAATGGGCTTTTTGTGGGCCTCAACTGATGGGCTTAATTTAAACAACAATGCCATCCGTTCCGGTTTATTGAAAACCGAACCGGATTTGGTACTAGCAATGGTTGAATTAGTATAATACGTTTAGTTTCAAAAAGACCTATATAATATATTCAAATATGTTTATCTATGACTGAAACACTGGTAAAAATAATTATTTTTTATGAGAAATTTTTTTAATGTAAATATGGTTAAAGTTCAATCCATCAATTATAAATTTTAGATCTCAAAACTTGCAAATATGATGATTTCTTTCAAATATTAAATCGCTGTATTTTAACCTCAGATAATAAAAATGAGATCGTTTAACATTTACTCGAGATGCATAACGAAACCATTTATTGGTGTAAAAAACAAAAATCAAAATAAAACCAGTAATTCGTGATGTGAATTAATATGATTGGTTTAATCTCTGAGATTCATTAAACCGGTTTGCGGAGAGGGGCAAATCAGTCATAAAAAATGTTGTCTACCCTGTGTGGCCGTGCAAACACACCTGTCTGCGACTCCATTGTCTTTCTGCTCTTTCAAAAAAAAAAGTGAACTTTCCCCTCTTTCTCTCTCTCTCTCACGAAGAAGAAAAGCCAGTGAAGAAATATCTTCCCCTGCCGAACCAAACCCTAAACCCCTGAAATTTTCCCGAGAAAATCCTCAAAGTTCTGACACTTCTTGCTTCAAGATTCCGCTGTTACCTGTACTTTCAGCTGACACCGGCATTGTTCTCCAGAGAGAGAAACCCTAGAAGATTTAAATTTTCGTAAACCCTGAGATTCCTGTTTCTTTTTTGCAGAAGTCAGGACATTGGTTAATCGAAATGAAAAACCCAGAAAAACCCATGTTCTTGTTTCTGATTTTAGCTTCCAGTTTCGCTGCCATGGCATCAGCGAAATCCACGATCGAGCCGTGCTCCAACACCGACACCTGCAACGCCATGCTCGGCTACACGCTCTACACCGACCTCAAGGTCTCCGAGGTTGCTTCTCTCTTCCAGGTGGACCCCATTTCCGTGCTCCTCGCCAACGCCATTGACATCTCTTACCCAGACGTCGAGAACCACATCCTTCCCGACAAGCTCTTCATGAAGATACCCATCACTTGCTCCTGCGTCGACGGTATCCGCAAGTGCGACTCGACCCATTACAAGACTCGCCCTTCCGACACCCTCGGAACTATTGCTGACTCAGTTTACGGCGGTCTTGTCTCGGCGGAGCAGATCCAGGAGGCGAACTCGGTGATAGACCCGACAGTCCTCGACGTCGGGACGAACCTTGTTGTTCCATTGCCGTGTACTTGCTTCAATGGCACTGACAATTCTCTCCCTGCGGTTTATCTGTCGTATGTGGTGAGAGAAGTTGACACATTGACTGGAATCGCGAGGAGGTACTCGACCACTATCACGGATTTGATGAACGTTAACGCCATGGGAGCTCCTGATGTCAAAGCCGGGGACATTCTCGCCGTGCCATTGTCAGGTTTGATCTAAGTTCTTTTCCTTCGCTGAAAGCGGATTTGCGAAAGCTGGCTTAGTGAATTGAAGTTATCTGCAGATGGATAAGTTAGAGCCTTCCTCACGGTTGTTTCCTTCTTGGAGAACTTAACTTGTGTAGCTTATTGCATTGGTGAGATTGGAATAAATCTGGTTGTACTTGATCGGGGATCTGCCAGTTTATGTGTTCTATCATCTTAAGTAAGAACAGGGTTTTCTTAGATGTCAATGGAGGGAAGCTTATGACAAAAAGTTCCGAATTTTAGGGTCACTCTTGTCTGTTTGTGTGTAGGAGTGAGTTTGTTTTACTGATTTCTGTATGAATACTTGGTTAACTTTTAGTAACTCTATAGGATAGGTTTGAGCATTGCCTACCTTCCTTCAAAACTGTCCACAAGTTGCTTTATCATCGAAAATTTGCCGGGTTTCTGTTAGTAAAGGACTAACATATGTTTTAATGTTTGTTATATTTACTCTCCTATCAGCTTGCGCTTCGAATTTCCCAAAGTACACTTCAGACTATGGGTTGATTGTTCCAAACGGAAGTTATGTCCTTACCGCAGGCCACTGTGTCCAATGCAGCTGTGCACTCGGGAGTCATAAGTAATTTCATAGAACCCTTGATCCCAAATTACTCGATCAATGAGAGAATCGTGTTATATACCATATTTGTTCACCGTTGTCTTTTCTTGTGGGTATGATGCAGTTTATACTGTGAGCCTGCTTCATTGGCTGTCTCTTGCTCCAGCATGCAATGCAGAAACAGCAACCTCATGCTCGGGAATATCACAACGAAGCAGAGTAGTGGTGGTTGTAACGTTGTAACCTGCAGTTACAACGGTTTTGCCAACGGCACTATCTTGACTACGTAAGATACATACATACATGCATATATACATACATACATACATACACTTAGATGCCCTCCTCTTATCATTCCCCCTGTATATAAATGGCAACACAACCTAATCACCATTCATTCTCTCCCTTTCAAATTTTAGGTTTTCCATGTCTCTTCAACCTCGATGTCCAGGTAAGTCTGGTTTTGCCCTATCGTTACCCATTTTCATCGAAACAGTCGGGTGTTAGTACATGAATCCAATACCCATTTACTTGCAATGGAAAACTGCAGGACCAGAACAGTTCACTCCACTTATATCCCCACCTGATACCCTACCTAAAGATATGATCTATTCACCGGCACCTTCGCCCGAGTTTGATGGCGTGGGACCCGTTGCACCGGGCCCTAGATCATCCGTGTTTCCTGCAAGCGGGTCCATTCCGGGAGTAAACCCGGCAAATGGTCCAGCCGGAAGCATCTCGGCCAGCTCGGTATCAGTGAGCTACTCTTCAATCTCCTTTGTGATCTCCATTGTGTCATGCTTGCTTGTTTAATCTGTTTGATGCAAGCATTGTTATTTTGCCTTTTCTTCATTTTTTGTGCAATGGTGATGATGAACACTAGACAGTGTGAAGTGAACGTTTACTTGCCTCTCCTGCTCCCTTTGTTCCTGTTTACGGTTGGCAACTTGACATTTGTGGAACCTTTTGGTTGGCTCGGCGGCTTTTCTTCTTTTGGAAATTCTTTTGGTTACCAAAAAACTTGCCAGAGATTCGGTTTTCATTTCGATCCTAGATTTAGTTATAGTTTGGTCGTAGTTACATCAACCACTTAGATTCAGGTTTTAGTTATTGAAATCACAGTCAAGATTGGATTTTTACCAATCCATCACTCTTATACCCTTGAATCGCATACACACACATACATATGCATATATATAGTGTGGTATGATTAGGGGTTGTGATTTGGTTATTAACCGAACCGAATAAGACATAACCGTACTAGAACCGAACCCAATATCAAAACCGAATGGTTTTGATTTCTTTAAATCCGAAAATTCGAAACTAAACTAAAGTGAATAAAAAAATTAACCAAAAAATGGACAATATCTTTGAAACAATAATTTTTTTACCAAAACCGAACTGAACCGAAAAATAAAAATCGAATCGAACCAAAAACTTATATGTAAAATTCGGATGGTTATAGTTTTTCTTAGGGGTGGACGTTTCGGTTATTAACCGAATAACCGAACATAATCGAATAAGAACGGTTCAGTTCGGTTCGGTTATTTGCTTAATAACCGAACGGTTGAGAAAGTTGAATAACCGTTCGGGTTCGGTTCGGTTCGGTTCGGTTAATAACCGAATAACCGCTGTTAACCAGACGGTTATTAGGATTTTTTATAATATTTTAATTTTTATCTTTATAATTATTAGTGTTATTTTTTTAGTTCATTTGTATCTTAGGTATTTTACCTAATAAAACATAAAATTTAATATTTTTAACTTTTAACCTAATTATTGAAGTTTTTGTAGATTTTTTATAACTTTTTTGGAGAATTAATTATTTTATAGATTTATTTGGATATATATTTTGAAGTTTGTATAGGATAAATATTTTTTTTTAAAAAAAATATATCATAATCGAGCGGAACCGATCTAAAACTGAACCAAATAACCGAAAAATTTAACCGTTTAGTTATAATTTTATTACGCAAAAACCGAATAGAAACCGATACGAAACGAACCGAATAAATCTATATAACCGTTTGGGTATGATTTGTTTATAACCGAAATAATCGAACCCAAAATAACCGAACCGAAAATCGAACCGAAATCCGAAAGGACCAACCTTAGTTTTTCTATAAGATAACCCGAAATGGCCATATTGGTCAAAGGCTCAAAGGAACATCTCAACCAATTTGGATGTAAGCCCAAAAGAAATTTAGATAAAAGCCATATGAGGCCCATTTGCTTTTAGATTGTTGGTCCCTTTATTTTTTTGTACCTATGGTTTTTTTTTCTTAGATTTTGTTAAAGTTAAAAAAAAAAATTGCTTTCGTTTTGAATATAAATCTGGTTTGGATTCTATGCTTTGAATTTGAACCCCAATTCTAAATATTTCGATTTCATATATTGCGCAACATGATTTTTAGAATAATACATGTGATTTTTCTAATGAAAGATAATATACAACTATCAACATAAGTTTGGATATGTCGAATAAGTGTACACTAACTACGGTCTACGGATGAAAATGATATATATATATATATATATAAATTATCGATTGGTTTATTGATTCGACAATGGGATTGGATCAGATAGACACGTAGTTGCCAAACATGTGAGGACAATCTTGATAAGCCAAACTCTTTGTCTTGCTGAAAGATACTGTTGTTTAACACTTGTTTGGTCGTAGAGATCTTGTGTTATGTTAGGTTTTTATTAAAAAGCTTATTTTCTAAATAATTATTTTATTTTATAATTTTTTCGATTTTTATTTTTATTTTTTTCGATAAATTTAGTTTATAATGAATGATAATAAATCAATTTCTAAATTTGATTTAAAATTAATTTGAATACAAACGGTTCGGATTCGATTATATAAAAACTATAGCCATTCGGTTTTAATACTAACTTGTAATCGATTCGGTTCGGTTCGATTCGTATTCGATTTTTTATTGATAAAAAATTCATTTTTTAAAAATAATTAGATTTTTCGGTTATTGTTTTTATTGGTTCGGTTCGGTTTAAATTCGATTTTTTTATTTAAAATAATAATAACCGTTCGAGGTTTCGATTACGATTATATCTTATTTAGTTCGATTCTACTATTAGTTTAATAATCAAAATCAATGTCACTCCTAAGTTGAAATACAATTTTTGAATTTACTAAGTACGCTTTTCCAAAAGGCATAAGTTGATATAAATATTAGTTAGAATTTTTCAATTACACAATTTGTTAGGGATTTGCATACTTCACCCAAATTGAATTTTATGGCAGTTGAAGATTTATTGTATATATCGGAACCCACAAAAAAAAAGATTTTGATTAAATTGCAAGCAAAATATATTTTCTTAAAATAAAAAAATAAAATAAAAGTGTTTTTTTAAGGATGAGTCAATCCATTGCAATCTCCAAAGTTAGAGGACAAGAAGATGGAAAGTCGGTTCTGCTTTCGCTGTTCTTCTCCCCATGCCAACTTGTGTTGTAATTATAATTGTCTGGTTGCTTGTTTACAGCAACCACTATTACGTGTCACACATTCTAACGCTAAAAAAAAATTGAAATAAAAAATCATTGTAGTTTGTGTGCGTAATAAATGATAAATATAAATAATTTAATTGGGACATAATTATTTATTATTCTGGTTTTTTAAATATCTGTACCTTGCTGGTTTTATTTTTATGTTAAGAGACCACTTTTTGAAGCTGTACAATATCTAACATGCCCTTAATTTGCTACAGAGGTGATCATTTCGCTATTTGGTTTAGATTAGATTCGATAATAATTCGGATTAGTTTCATAAAAATATGTACCAAATGATTATTATATTATATTATATTCGATTCGATTCATTTTCAGTTTTTATTAAGAAAAAATAAATTTTTTTAATTTTTTTGTTTTTTAGATTTTTTTTTTTAAAAATTTGGTTTGATTTTAGAAAATATGATTCTCTAAATAAAATTACCATTAAAAAAATTTAGACTGTTTGGTTCGAAAAGGATATCGAATTTTTTTATTCGATTTAAAAAAAAAAACTATATCGAAACATCCATAATATTTGGATTTTAACATAATGAAAGGTGTAGAATAATTTGTTTATTTAATTGGACCAACAATTTGAGCAATTCCAGCCTCTCTTTTTGTTTAATTTTTCCTTATAAATACAAACCAGTAACAATTATGATGCAAATAGTAATACCCAAATATACTATTCACATACCATAATAAATTGAATTGAATGAGGCGGGACATAATGCAGTACACTGCAGAAACATGCATATCTCTCTTCCTGCTTCATTTTAATAATAATAACAATAATAATAATAATACCATAACCTTATGGACCGTTATCTGAATTGTTGGTCTTGTGCATAAATATTTTTAAATGAAGAATTTGGCCTTCTGTTATTGATTATTTAAATATTTTTTCTAATAGATAATGAGATATAAACGCATTTTCACATAGCGTGTGTACTTTTTGTGAAACCTGTTGGATTGAAGAAAATTGCTTTTTCCTGAATATTTTTGCATGTGGAGTTGTTAGAGACTTTTACCAATATATATATATATATATATATAGGGAAAATCCCAGAAAAATACATGAATTTTATAAAATGTGCCACATAAATACATGATTTTTTAATTTGACAGATTAAATCATGAATTCTATAATTGTTTCCAAATCAAATCATAAACACAAACGGCGCAAATTCGTCGTTAAATTGATCCCACGTGGATAAATGAGAGCCACATCATTATAAGCACCACCTCATATTATTTGCCATATCATCCAGTTTTTTGGAATCAAATTTAAATCAGATTAATTTAAAATTATTTTTTTTCAGAACGACATTTAAATTAAAATAAAAATCTCTAAATCAGTTTCTAGGGTTTTGGAGCCACGTCTACAGAGTGATTTTTTGGGAGAAATCTGATTTTGCTCCCAAAATTCAAATCTAGCCGATTTCTTCATATTTTCAATTGAGAGAGTGAATTTCCACCTCTGTTCTATCTATTATATGGTCGGTTGATCGATTTATTGAGGTATTGTATTTTGTTCGATTTTCGGATTGGTTGAAGGGGAGATTCTAGGGTTCGGTCTTTCCTTTTGATTTTTGTGTTTTCTACTGTTTTTTTTTTGTTTTTTCATTATCATTGGGTTGGTATATTATCGGGATTTTGGGACGAAGTGTTTGTTTATTAAAGTTTGGGATTTGCAGTTTTCATTGAGATTCTGGAACTTCGTTGTGGTTTCTCTACAAGATGACAAGGAATAGGTAATGATTATTTGTGATTAAAAATTGTACTTTATCTGCTACTAATGTTTATTTTAGCTTAATGTTTTTTGTGTATATTTATGAATGCAGTGATATATCAATTAACTTCCACATGGGTGGAACGATGGATTGTCTGGATGAAAAATTATGTTATGTAGGTGGGTTAGTAGAGAAGGGAGTTAGATTTGACTCAGATTATTTATCATGGTTTGTGTTTGAAGATTATGTAAGGTCTAGGAATATATTAGCCCCAATTCATGAGATGTGGTATAAGTTACCACATCAAAATTTTGAGGAATTGCAGAAAATTGAAGAAGATATCGACTGGAGAATTTATGAAATGTGTCAAATTGCAAAAGGAGGAGGAGAATTGGATATTTTCATTGATCACGAGTTATCGGAAGATGCTTCGTATTCAAGGGTATTCATTGGGGGACCTTTGATAGATGAAGGAAGTGACTGGAATGAGAATGAGGGTTTGCATAAGAATGTTGTAGACGATGAGGGGTTACATGAGAATATTGTGGGTTTACATGAGGTTGATATAGATGGTGTAAATGATGATCGTTTTGAGAGATTGGTTATAGAAGGGGCTACAGTAAATGATGAGGAGAGAAGAAATGCAACGGAATATGTCAGTGATGATGATGATTTAGACAACGACGATGTGTATCCAGATACGCCATTAGGATCTGATAATGAACGAGATGAAACGTGTAATCCTCAGCTAGAGAAGACTCAATCTGGAACAAGAAGACAACCATCTCTGGGGGATCATTTTTATTTAGGTAAAACATTCAGATCTGGTGAAGAGTTCAGACAGACGTTAATGCAGTATGTTTTGGATGAACAGTTTAACGTCCAATTGTCTAGATGGGAACATGACAAATATGCTGTTGTTTGTAAGAACAAAGATTGTTCATGGCGATTGTATTGTTCAGTGGAGAAGCCAATCAACAAATGGATGGTTAAAGTCTTGCAACCTGATCACAACCATAAACCGAATGGACATGCATCAATGTTGACTATGAGGGAGATAGCAAAGTTGTTCATTGATGATCTCCGTAGAGAACCAGCTTACACGGCTGTGAAAATGCAACATCAGATTAAAAAAAGGTATAATTTGACAGTTTCAATTAGTAAATGTTTCAAGGCGCGTCGTATCGGGTTACAAATGGTAACGGGGGATCAAAAAACTCAGATTGCAAAGCTTTGGGATTATGAAGCAGAGCTTCGAAGATCGAATCCTAATACATCAACAGAAATTGGAACAACGGATGAAGATGATCGTGGTGAAGAAGTCTTCGACAGATTTTATGTTTGTTTTGAAGTTCTCCGAACATCATGGAAACAATTTTGTCGACCTGTGATTGGTTTAGATGGATGTTTTCTCAAGTGGGATTTAAAAGGTGAGCTTTTAGCAGCTGTGGGGAGGGATGCCAACAACCGCATCTACCCTATTGCTTGGGCAGTGGTAAGGATAGAATCAAACGATACACGGGCATGGTTTATTCGAAAATTGAAATCAGATTTATGCCTTGGAGATGGAGAAAAGCTAACAATATTGTCAGACAAACAAAAGGTACTCAAATTTCTATATTGTTTATTTAAAAATTGAAATCACAGTGTTTAATATTGTTTTTTAATTTATATAGGGTTTATTAAATGCTATTGAACAAGAGCTGCCACATGCCGAGCATCGTATGTGTGCCCGACACATATACGCCAATTGGAAGAAAACATTCAAGGATATGGAGTTAAAACTATTTTTCTGGAAAGCTGCACAAAGTTATCATCAAGGTAACATACATATTCCTTCTTACGTATTATGTTGAAACATAAATTCTAATAAAAGGTACTATATTTCAAGGTGATTACACTCAAACTATGGATGCATTGAAAGCGGTAAACCCTTTGGCGCATGATGCATTAATTCGTACAGAACCACACCATTGGGCCAGAGCGTTTTTTAAGAAGGAGTCTCAGTGCAGAGACGTGCACAACAATTTATCGGAGAGCTTCAACAAATCCATTAGAGATGCACGATCGAGACCGGTGGTTGATATGCTCGAAGAAATTAGAAGACAAACGATGGCTAGAATCGCAAAGAGATCAAAGGATGCTGAAAAATGTATTACTGAATTTAGTCCGAAAGCAATGTCGGAATTAGAACAATCGCGGGACAGATCTAGACATTGTTTAGTTATCCCGAGTGGCCATGGTAGGTATGAGGTATTAGAGTTTGGGATAAGTTATGCAGTTAACCTTAGTGGAAACAGTTGTGCTTGTCGGAAATGGGATTTAACCGGTATACCGTGCCAACATGCTCTGTCTATCATCAATGAACGACAGGAAAATATTTCTCGGTAAGTTTGCAGATTTATGATTTGCTTTCCAAGACTTTGTTTAATCACTTGATCATTTCATTTTTTTTTTTTTTGCAGATTTATTTCGACATATCATTCTAAAGCCAATTGGGTAGCAACATACGCAGGTAATATATTACCTGTTAATGGGGAACCATTATGGAAGAAAACTCTAAAATTCCCAATAGGTGTCCCGGAAGATAAAAGAATGCCCGGTCGACCGAAAAAGTTCAATAGAAAGAAAGATCCACATGAGTCTCCGAGAAAAAGTGGACAGATGACTCGTCATGGAAGGAAGATTACTTGCAAGCGATGTCAACAAGTTGGCCACAATTCTAAAACTTGTAAGAACGATCCAGTTCAGACATATGGGCCACAAAGGGGGAGAGGTAGACCAAGAAAGTTACCGGTATGTGTATCTAAATGATCGTTGAATTTATATGTATTATAAATATGTTTTCACATAATTTTTATTTTTTGTTATAAGTTGGAAAGTGGACAACGACAAAATAAGAAAGGAAAAACATCAGCGAGTATATCCCAAACCGCAACAAACACTGTTAGTTCTAACCAAGGTACGAATATAAGATGTTTATACTAAGGTTGTTTTGTTTGCATTATGTTAACCATTGTCTAATTTGTTCTAGGTACGATACATCCACCACAATCAAATCAGACATCACAGGTGATACGTCCACGTCTCGGCTTCCAGTTCCATCGTCAAGTAAACACTAGTAGGATGTTTCAAATGCCACGACAGGTTTTCCAATCTAATCCAAGACAACCAGATGGTTCTGCGTCTAGAAAATCGTGAAGTCATTTTATTTTCCAATCCAATCCAAGACAACCAGACTTTTGATAAGTTTGAAAATTTTTATGTTGATGGTATTTTGTAAGACTATTTTGATAACTTATGCAGAGAATTTATTTTATAATAATATTTTGTTTTTAAGATTTCAATTTTATAGTCGAAAGTTAAAAAAAATATTCGATTGTAAAAACATGTCTGATTACAAAAATATTATAGGTTCATAAACAGGTACGATTATATAAATATGTCTGATATGAACTTGATATACAAAACCGGATGATGTGGCAAATAAAATGATGTGTCAAATAATACGAAGTGATATTTACAATGACGTGGCATACTTTAACGACGAATTTACGCCGTCTGTGTTTATGATTTGATTTGGAAACAATTATAGAATTCATGATTTAATCTGTCAAATTAAAAAATCATGTATTTATGTGGCACATTTTATAAAATTCATGTATTTTTATGGGATTTTCCCATATATATATATATAAAGGCTGTGTCTTTAGCCAAATGATGGATTTAATGTACCGCTATTTATGGTACGCGATTATTTTAATTTGAAAATAAAATATACATTTACAGCACAAATTTAAGTCAATTTTGGATTCATGGAATAACAAATATATATATAAATCCTATTTGATTTTATGTGTTAGATATTTGTACTAGATAATTTAATTTTTTATCAATATCAATTTTTTTAATTAAGATTGTCTTTAATAATGTTGTTTTAAGTATCTATAAATAATATTGTATAACAGAATCAAAATTGAGATCATCCATCTTTAAGATTGTAGTAGGTTCAACATCAAGTAACCCTGGGGATCTCCCCCAGCTCTGTTGGTTTGAGAGCCCACTTCCTGAACAAGAGGTCGTGGGTTCAACATCCAGGGTATGGAGATTTCTCCTCCGGTCACCTTTGGGTGTTTCACATCCCACACGTGTGGTACCGGTTGTGCGTGTGGGTCGGGATTAGTTTGGGTCCTTTGGGTCTGGGATTACCCGGTTATCAAAAAAAAAAAAACATCAAGTAACCCTCAATATGCAAATAAATAAATAAATGAAAATGTTAATTTTATTTCGGGGCATGAATATGCCCTATTTAAAAAAAATTAAATATGATTTTAAAAAATGGATATGATTGTGTTTTTGTGTGATATTTTACACCTTGATTTTGATGCAAAGGGAGACCAATCCAGCAAGAAATCATGTGACTGTTGGGTACAAATATATATATATATATATATATATATAAATATTACGAGGATAACGATACAAAACCCAAAACGTTATCCTCCATAGATGACGATGACGATGATGATGAGGACACATGGCTTCTGCTTACATTATTTCATATAAGAAAACAAGCATTGGATGTGTTCTTGTCGTGAATCTTACTCAGACTTTGCTTAATCATTCTATAATTAAAACAATAAAAAATAAAATAAAATAAAATCCTCAAAGTCAAGCGTTTGCATGATTGATGATTGAAACTGCTTATAAACTAAACATTATTTTATTTAATTTTTTATGGAAAATACGCAACATAAAAATGGTTCCGGGAGGGATTTACATATGGCAAATGATATATATATATAAAATCTATATTCGAAATCACTAAGAGTTTGTATGTGTTTATTCTTAGAATTAATGATAGCATATGTTACATAAAAAATTGTTATTCATATGCCATATTATGAAATAAGATTACATCAATCTCTTTTTTTATTTTATCCGAATGTCTAATCAATCTATCCTACATTTTTTTATACCTTTTAATACCAAAAGAAAAATATATTATGATTTTCACCAATCATCACTCATTGCAGAGGCTTAAACTTCTGCAATTTTTTGTATCCATTTTCTCTTTACATGGTTTTTATTTTGAGTTTTTGCCTTTAATTTTTTAGTTTTTGAATTTTAACTATTATTTGTAAATTAAAAAATAAAATTTTTGGTTTTTAATTGTACTTTTCCAAGTAATTTTTTGAACTGTTAGAAAAACTAAAATCTTTAAATCCTAATTAATAATTTTTTTAGTTTTTGAATTCTAAAAGCTCCTTCCATTCAACTCCAAATCTTCCGCAACTCAAACTAGAAATTGAAACAACAGGTCAGTCCATCAAATGAAATGAATCATGAGAGGAGGGAGTTCTTGATTCCAGGAATCTAAAATTCATAGATTTATACAGATTAGGGTTTCTATATGCAGATTACATTACAATAAGAACAAAAAAGAGGAATTTTTTTTAACATGCAAGTCTCCTAAACCTCTCTGGACTAAGCCTTTTTTTTTTTAGCTCACCAGGGTTACAGAGATCTCCTCAGTAAAAAAAAAAAAAGAGAGAGAAGAGAAAAAAAAATCTACATTTTTTTTGAGGCATAGAGAAAACCTAATTCCTTCATTTGCTTGGCTTTTAACCTATTAACATCGTTCATTCGCGATTTTACCAAAAAAAAATCCGCCACCCTCGCGGCTGTAGCCGCCTTGTTCGCGGCTGCAACCGCCCGGCTCACTTGCTCGTCCACCCGTCTTATATTCACGGCCTTCTTCTCTCTTTCTCGGGCCGCCTAATGATCAAAGAAAACGGTCAACAACAAGGGTTAGAACAGGGAGTTCCAACGCTAGAAATTCCAAAAAAGTTTCAGCCTTTGAGAAACCCACTTGGAAATGGAACTAAAGTTTCAGACTTTAGATGGCATTAGTTTACCTGAACCGATCTACGAACCGGCTCGGTCGATGGAGGAAGAGGGGTTCGAAGATTCCCGTCGACCCATTCTCCGGATTTCGTGTCACCGTTTCTGAAAGTGTAAATGCCGTAGCCTTGTTTACGCCCTTCGTGCCATGCTCCTTCATAGCAGTGACCATTGGCGAAACGGTAGATGCCGAACCCATGGATCTTGTCACCAAAATACTCCCCTGTATACTTATCTCCATTCCTACAAAAAGATCGAAATGAATACCCTATTGTTCAGTTCATATTCTTTCAAGCATGGTCAAGCTTAGAAATCTCTCATCTTGTTCCAGAAGTCACTTCCCAATTACCAGAAGTATCTCGCAGATACGCAAATACAGTAAAGAAAGTATATGCATATTGATATATTACCTGAAATGGTAAGATCCAAGTCCATGTTTGATAGCAGACTTGAATTCTCCGGCATAGCAACTGCCATCAGCACAGGTCTGAACACCGAACCCGTGGCTCTGACCATTGACCCATTCCCCGGCATAACAGTCTCCGGTGTAGAACCTGTAAACTCCATAGCCATGTCTCAGCCCTTGCCTGTATTGACCCTTGTATCTACTTCCCCTTGCCCAGCTTTCTATCCCATACCCATCGTATCTTCCATCGATCCAATCACCTTCGTACCTCCCGTTCACGAAATAGTAGTATACCCCACTTCCATTGCACTTCCCTTTATGAAACTCTCCTTCGTAGAAATCGCCATTGCTGTAGAACTCTACTCCTTCCCCGATCAGTTTCTTCCCTCTCTGGGTCCTGGCTTTTTCCGGTTTCGAATCGCCTATGTACCATTGAACCGGTTTCGACGGGTTCCTGCTCTGAAATCCCAGTCTTTTACAGGTTTCATCGCATACATGCTTGATTGCAGCCATGGACTGGTTGATTAAGGCCATGTTCTTGGAGGCGAAAAGCAGAGCGACGGCGACAAAGATCAAAGCGAGGAGGATAATCTCCGACGTGAGAATCTCGTCGGTTTGGGTTTGGGAGTAGAAGAAGAAGAAGAAGAATGAAGAAAGGCTGAGGAAGGAGAGAGAGGCCAGGGTGAAGGCAAGACCCGGGTGGTTGATTCGGGTCGACCCGATTGTTCTCGGGCTCGACCCGAATGGCTTTGGCGGTTTCCTCCTCTGCTTCTCCTCTTTCTCTCCAATCTCCAGATCCTGAAACTCGAATTCGTTGATTTGAATGGAAGATCGACCGGTCGGAGATGGCCGGAGAAGCGACGACTGCGTCCTCGTCAGCTTCGCCTGGTTCATCTGTCCATCCATTTTCCGAGAAAGCAACAAACCCAAAAAAGAAACGAAACGAAAATCCGATCACCGGAATCTTCTGTAGCGTGAGATTCTCGTCACCACCGTCGTTCTCGATTTCGCCGGCGACATCTCTGGCGAGTGCACCGTAACCACCACTGCACCTTCCCGCAGAGTATCAAAGGGGAGATTTCAAATTTCTTCTCTTGCGGCTAAGCAGAGGAAGCTCACTTTGCAGAGAGAGAGAGAGAGAGAGAGAGAGAGAGAAACTTGGTCTCGGGCTACTGGTTATTTTAAGGGATGAATTGGGGGAGAGAGAGAGATGTGAGGGCGAGATTCAATGTCAACCGTTGGATGAAGATCTGACGGTTGATGAGGTTAACGGAGAAATCGTAGCCGTTGGATTGGGTCCGGCCCTGATAGAATATATATTGGTCGTCGGATTCAGACCGGAACGCTTTTTAGCTTTACTGTCGCAGGTTGGCACGTGCCGCCACACACACGCGCTCTTTTAGATGCAATAGCGCTTTATTTCATGGCTTTGCCAGATTTTATTTATTTATTTATTTAAATCTATGTTTTAATAATGCTTTCTTATGAGAAATCTTTTGAAACTAGATACTAGTTTCCATATAAATATATTTTTTTTCTATTAGTACTAAATAGTGGTTATAAAACACACCTTCGTGGCCCAAATTATTTAAATTTAGAGTAAATGGTATATAAATACATGATTTTGTAATGAAAGATCATATTAATATGTAAATTTTACAGATTTTAAAATAATACGCGAATTACTCCATAACTCTTACAATCAAATCCTAACTGTGAGTCATTTTAATTAGATATAAAATTTTTTAAAAAATATAATAATAAACCGTACTGAAACCATGCGGGACACTAGATATCATAAATCTATTCTATATTCTAAACCCTGAAATCAAGTTTAGAAATATAAAGTTATTACATAATATGGGTTTTCTAAAAAAATTTATAAAAAAATCTATATCTTTTGTGTGTTTTATTTCAGTCAAAGCCTAAAACCCAGACAGGGAGAGAGTAGAGGAGGATTCCGACAAGGAAGGAAGTAGAGATGGTAAAGAGAGCGTAAGCGTAAGCTCTCCAAGGGAAAATACTTTCTCTCATGGCGTTGAATTCCGCCATTAATGTCGAGACTGTGCTCAGACATCCTAGTAGCCCAAACTGTATGCTCGATGCCACCGTGTTACAGTCCCTCGTCTTCACCTGTCCACATCATTGAATATGGACAACTGTTATAGTTGTGTAGAGAGAGAGAGAGAGATGGAGGAGAGACGAGAATTGCTCACTGATCTCTTTAACGTTGCTAATGCAGCCATGGCGAAAGCTGCAGAGAGGTTGGCGATGAGGGTACCGAACGGAACCCATCTCAAGAGCCTTCCTCCCTTTCCGAGCCCGCGTCCGTTGAGCCGAGCCAGCAACCATCTGAGCCAGACACCGGGTGCGGCAACTAAGCAACCGAACCAGAGCTCTGCCTCACTTGTTCCCTTTCTGAACTCTTTCGCGAGCAACACGGCACTCACAGAGAGTAGAACCCCGAGTGTTACGAGCATTATACCGAATGAAACCATATGACCTGTGAAGGTATTCACCTTAAGACACGGTTCTTTTCCCTCGGGATCTCTGTTTCGTCTCGCAAGAACCCATCTGAAACCCTTTGCTGTTTCGACCCCGAAAATGATGGAGTAAGCTGAAAGAAACAGCCCTGCAGAAAGTTTTGGATTGCCGTATAGTGATTCAGTTCATCGTTCTTACACTGATCAGCTTATGTTGTGGAAAAGGGTGTCCTGTCTTTACCTAAAAGAAAGCCGAGAATGGCGTCGAGCCATTGGCCATTGGCACTAAGATCGAGCATTTTCTGGTTCCAGCCGCTGAAAGTCGTGAGGCTACCCAGATAGCCAGTGGTTAAACCTATGGCTAAAAATTCGGAAACTTTCACTATATCTGCTTTGAAAACTACCCCAAACCAACCCATCAGGAACGATCCGACCTACAATGGAGCAAGTTCGAGGTTTATATGACAGAAATCTTTGAAAGGAAGCGTCCTATATTCTTCTTTCCATGAAAGAAATGGGCTATGGAATTGGACCTTACCATGTTGGAAGGAAGATCAAGGTATAAGATGCTCCCGTCACTCGTTACCCGAGCAACAGTCGGCCCAAACAGCTTCTGCAGCAAATATCTCGTAATAACCTACTCATTTGGTCGGTAATGGAAGACGATTAACGACATGAGATATGACTTAAGCATCTGTAACTATCTTCAATATGAATCAGATTCAGAGCAACAAACCTCTGCAACTCACCCCAAGAATCCCGAAAACAGCCAAATGGGTCAGACAGCAAACGTATTCCAAGAACTTCAATAACACTGGCTCTTCCTGGTATCCCCACATGACAAAGAAAAGAACAAAGATCATAACGTCGATATCTTGTATCAAAACAGAGAAACCGATTCTGACGAGACCAACAGACAAAGTTCGAAACTTACTTGGTCCTTTACATCAGACGGCAAGAGCAATTTCGTGGGCAAAGGGGATCTGCCATCAATGGGCATGTCTGAGATTACAGAAGTTGTATTCATGCCTCGAAGGTCATGACCCCATAATCCACTGGGGTGAAAGATACCTTCTTCTTGATCGATGGGGTGATCAGTGGAGAAACGGCTGCTTAAACCAGTACTATGCCTTCTCCGAAGGGAACGATCCCCGATATCTCCAGCCTCTGAAACCCTCTCGCTATCAATGGTGTCATCGTTTTCGAGCGGAGCAACACGTGTTAAGCTTAGAGAATGCCTCGAAGAAGAGCCTACGCTGCTCGGTAGACTAAAGGACCCTGTTCTTCGAGGCTCTGTGTTGCTGTGACCAAGATCCATGGCCTTGTAACCAGAACAACAGAAACCCAAATCGATCAGATTCTACTGGAAAACTATGGAGATAATGTGATATGAATCAGGGGTTGACCAAGAAACAGTGATGTGGGTTTGCTGAAAAAATGTTGTTACATTCCAACAGCGGTTGCTTCTGACATGAAACAATTGACTTTTAACAGAGAAATCACTCATGCCATGTTATGTGATCCCACCGAAATCTGAATCTCGTTTTGAAAAAAACACAGTTCTTGAAAACGGCGAGTCAACCCTTAGCCACCACGGAAAAGGGTCCAAGAAAAAGACACGATTGAACAACTGGAACATTGGTAATGACCAGTGTGTTAGGTGATTTGATGTCAATAAACGTTAATCAGTGGACGAATACCTCTCACCAAACAAAATAAAAAAAAAAACTAAACTTTATAGACATATAAACGTTACACAAACAAGGGCCCATAACAAAATGCCGATGAGATTATTCAAATAACCAAAGTTAGAGTCTTTTGCTTCAATCTTCGGGGAAATGACAGACACTACCTTTTGTCTTTTTGCGTTAAGAACCCTAAAATCATAATCCTAATCCTTTTTTTTGGAGTTGTGTTTTCAATGATTTCTACATGAACAGGAACTGGGTAATGAGAAGAGTGAGGTATTATTTTATATAAATTTTTTTAAGTTTCTGAAAAAAGGGACTCACTTTCCAACTTCTGCAGAAAAGTTTAGAGATCTGCCGTCCACTAACATGACAAAGTAAAAAAAGACAAAATCATGAACCCTAACTTTTCACAGCGTAAATTAAGATATTTGGGGGGAAAAAAAAGCTAATTCTTCGAAATACAAAAAAAACCCAATGCCGAGAAGAAGAAGAATACCTCCGAAAGACGAGAAGATCTCAAACCCGAGTCCGATGACCGGCGAATTCGTACGGAAAAAACAGAACAAGTTGAAAGGTCTTGAACCTGAATCGGAGAAAATCGAGCGGCGGCGGCTGGTGGGAAGAAGAAGGGAACGATTGAGAATTGCCCACCAACAGGCATTTTGGCTGCGAAGTTTCCGCCATTGATTTATATTCAAAGGTCGGTGAGAGAGACGGCTCGCGAAAAAGACAGCTTGAAATTTCTGTTTTTTATTCTTTATTTTTTATTTTTGTTCGTATTTTTTCTTATCCAATCGTTATTAATATTGTTATAAACCGCAAACTTTGTTATCAAATTTTTCTTATATGTCGCTTTCTTTTTATTTTAATTTTCTATGCTTTCTTTTATTTTTATTTTCTCGCTGTCCCTGCACCACGAACATAGTTTTGATTTTTCACTATTCAATATAGTTATATATATATATATATATATATATATTATTTCATAATTCCGTGCATTTGCCGCGGTCTCTAACCATTTATTGATTTCATCATTTACGAGGCTCAGTCTCGTTCAAGAATTTTTTTAAGTGATAAGGGGTGCTTGCAAAAAAAAATAAACGTATTAGGTAGTTGATGGTCCATCTGCCAAGTCAAATTTTTTACATTCTCATTCAGTATGTATATGTGTGTGATATATATATATATATATATATATATATATATATATATATATATGTGTGTGTGTTATTATAATTAATCTTCAATTCGCTACAAGAAATCTTGCCAGGACCGATGGACTTGGCGACGGAAGTCCCATCGGACTACAAGGTAGCGATGGACTGCGACCGCTTTGCGACGAAAATCACAGAAAATTATTCCATCTCAATGCGTCGTTAGGTCCCTCGAAAAGACGATGGATAACGACTGAAATTTCCATCGGTATTTATTTGCGACGGGCGGCGTCGAACGACGACGGAATGTACGACCGATTTTTCATATGTGCGACGGATACTGACGGCATCCCCAACCGATTTTTCAGATGCAATCTGCGACACATTTTGACCGATAGTTCATCGCAATTTGTGACGGATATCCGACGGTTTACCAACCGTATTTTTCCATCGCAGAATGCGACGGACTGCCGACGGGATTTATTTTGCAGCAGCGCTGTACAGATGAATAATGTTCTGTCGCACCGACGAATTTTATTGCGATGAAAATTCCATCGCTATATTCTATGTTTTTTTAATGATTATAGCATATATATATCCAAGTTTGGGTGACCTAATGATAAAACAATATATAAAGTATGTTCTTATCCAAGATTCAAATCTAAACGTGAAGAAAGATATTCATCCGAACTTCTATCAGTTTTTTAGAAATGTAATTGAGCCCAAAATATGGTGAACTCTAAGATTATAAAAAAAACATTATAGATAGATAAATCTCATAAATTTTATTGCTTAATTAGCAAAACAAAGCATTTTACATTAACAAACAATGAAAAAAAAGAAAAGAATAAAGATACACGAAAATAATACCCCATACAACAACACGATCATATAATATATATATATATGATAATTGATCACCATAACAATAGATAAAATGGGGAAAGAAATAAATAATTTAGATGTCCACAATGAAAACCCCCAAAAACAATGATCTATCGATTGCAGCCAACCCATTTACAGTAAAGGTCGTGGAAGACTCCACCTTTTCCTTGTGGAGGCAAAATCACGTCTTCATGATAATATTCAGGATGATTGCAGAGTTCCGTACAAGGCTTCTGACACAACTCAACAGTTGCATGCTTTGATATTCCCAGACATATGTTCGAAACGCAATTCTCCACGCACTTCTCCGTCTTCTCCGCATCGCAATGGCCCATCCCCACCATCGTCACCATCATCACCATCGCCATGATGGCCATGACATTGCATGTTTTCCTCATCATTATAGCCATATATAATATACACACGAGATACTTTTATTTCTCTTGCTTTTGATTTCTTTATTTGATGTTTTTTTTTTGTTAGTAGATATAAACTTCTCGTGGGATTTGGTGATTTTATATATAGTGGGTTCTTGGATCTATTCAAGGCATCCTCGTATGCACGGTCTGGTTTTTACACACGTCGTTTTAAGGAATTAGCAAATGATGGTTAAAAGGTTTTGTTCGGTTTCTTGTTTTTGAACTTTTTTTTTTGGACGTGAATTATTCAAAAAAAAAAAAAAAAAAAAGGTTGTCTCTTTACAGTTGATAACTTCAAAAACCGCAACTCAATTTTCTAAAATCCTTGTTTTGATGAATTGTGTGAAAAATGTTGAAATCATTTTGTGTCTTTACACTTCTATTACAACAACAACGTGTTAATCCCAAGTTCTTTACAAATCTATTAAAATTAAAAATATATATATAAACACCTATACATAATATATTACCAGTACAATAAAAAAATACGGATTCGGTAACATTTTTTTTTGCGTTACCATATTTTGGTAACACGGTATTTTCGTTGCCAAAGGGTAACTCTTTTATATTACCAAATTTAGATTATCGAAAAAAAATTAATATGTATGAATTATTGAGATTTGATAATGATTTTGCGTTTTATCAAAATTTCATATATAAGGATGAGGTGATCTTCATCAGAAATTCGACTTTTTCACGAAGTTTTTAAACACTTCTAAAACCGTCCATGAGAACGATTTAATATTTTAATTTGTATTTTTTAATAAGCTTTGTAAATATTATTGGATTAAAAAATTATTATTTTATTTTTAATATACACCATAAATCTCAGAATTTTATTGCTCGGTAACGTTTACATTAACAACGAAAAAAGAAAAATAAATAATGATACTTGGCCTGTTTATTGACACCTTTTACTTTGAGAACATAATTTTCGGGTTTAATTTGGGTCGCTCACTAAATAATGTTGTTGATTAATCTTCAGATCCCGAGAGCATCACAACTGAAGAGAGGTTGCAGTATGTACGAGTTTTGAATTGTATTTTGGGTGTCGGGACGATGAGGTTTTGGTATTGGATATATATATATATATATATATTATTTTGGTAACAATTTTGTAATGTAATATTTGCGCTGCTAGACATGGTTTTAAATTTCTCATATTCGTTTCCACTTTCCATGTTACTTTACGGTTTATCATCCATGTGTAGAAGGGTCAACCGGGCCGACCCGAACCCGCACTCGATCGAAGGTTTCAAGCTCGGGTTCGGACCAGCCCAAAAAAATTTCAGGTCTAATAAACTACGTCCGAAGCCCGATCCTATAAAATATGGGTTCGATTACCACATATATATGTGTGTGTGAAATATGATCATCTTATCCTAATTATATATTTGATGCTATATATCATTATCATTAATATTTTTTTTAATAAAAATTATCATTAATATTGAATAATAGCATACATGCATATACATATCATAAATCTCATAATTTTATTGCTTAGCAAACCATAGTGATACACGAAAAAAGAAAGAAAAGAATAATGATACACGAAAAAAAAAATACTCATACAACAATATGATCATATATATATATATATATATATGATCGCCATAACAATGGATTGAAAAAGGAAAAGAAATAAATATTTTAGATGTTAATGCAGAAAACACAATGAAAACCAAACAAGGATTATTAATTGCAGGAGAAATATTTACAGCACATGGCGCGAACTTCAGCCAGGAAGTCTCGATCTTGTGGAGGCAAAATCACATCTTCATGATATTGATGATGAGATGGAGGATGAGTGCAGATTTCCGTACAAGGTTTCTGACACAACTCGACAGTCGCATGCTTTGATAATCCCAAACATATGTCCGAGACGCAATGCTCCACGCATTTCTCTATCTTCTCCGTGTTACAATGGCCCATCCCCGCCATCATAACCATCATTATCATCGCCATGATGGCCATGACATTGCATGTTTTTCTCATCGTTAGAGCCATAATCTATGTGTATATATGTATACACGATGCTGTTCTTCTCTTTTTTATTTGATGATTTTGTTGTTGTTAGTAGATATAAACTTCTCGTTTGGTGATTTATATATAGTCCGTTCTTTGATCTATTTTAAGACATCCTCGTATGCATGGTGCGGTTTTTACACATGCCGTTTTAAGGAATTAGTTATTATTTTTATTATTATCAATTTCATAACTTCCACGAAATGTGTGGTTAACAAAAAAAAAATAGTTAACAATGGTTGAAGGGTTTTCTTCGGCATCTTGTTTTCGAAAATTTTGGACGTGAGTTATAACAAAATGGCTATCACCTTATTGCAGGTGATAACTTCAAAAACTGCAACTCAATTTTCTAAAGTCCTTGTTTTGATGAATTGTGTGATAAATGTTAAAATTATTTTGTGTTTTTATTAAGATAAACGTTAAAATCACTTCGTAAATATATTTGCAAGCTAAAAAAATATCTAGAATTTTTTTTTATTCTGATTTGGTTTACAAAAGATAGGATTAATCCCATAAAAAATTATTGAATTCATAGAAAATTAATTCTCAAACTTGTTAAATTTTTATAAAAATTGCTTTACTTAAAAATTTGTCTTCAGAATTCTTGAATTTGTAAAACGTTGTGAATAATACAAAGTGGACTGGGAAAAGCACCTAGCTCAGTTGAAAAGTGATTATTCGTCCTTACACAAGGTGTTCGGTTCGATTTCTCCTGATGTCAAGTTTCTCCTGAATCGATCAGCTTTGTCTTCTTTATCTTTTATGTGTAGCTTGCCGACTATTGCATAGGGCTATTGGAGTTTACTATCCGCGATGCTGTGTCATTCGTTCGGCCCTTCAGAAAGGACTGTGAGACGTTTCGAGGTCCGACCGAAAGACTGTAAGGGCAGGTTCTCTAACGTATAAAAAAAATTGGACCGGTGTTGACCGCTAATAACTTTAGTGGTGTCTAACAAGTCATTAAACCAAACCGATTCATTTTTAAGGAAAAATCTCATATTCTCTCACAAATTTTTGTTAATATTTTTAATTCCTGCATCAATTTTTATAAAAACTTACTCAAAAGTTCTAAATTTTCAAAATCTCAAACTAAATCGCAAAATATTTTACAATTTTTCACATAACCATAGGATTTCGGAATTTCGGTTTGCTTTGTTTTTAGAGATTTCGGTTTCGAGATTTCAGTGACTTAAGCG